ACTGATGACATATAAATATAACTAACTTGAAAACATGGGAATGCTTTCTTCAGCATTACCTTCCTTTCTCCATCATAACCCTTATAATCTTTATTACAGAAATGGTCACTGCATATTCTTGCATTTTTTGATGGAAGCCATTTGAAATCATTTATTTCCTGTCTGATAAACTTAATCCAATCGTTTTGCATTTTTACATTTTGAGGAAATCTGAAATTTTATAAACTGTTACAGAAACTTGTGCATTTCTTAAGTATTGCTTTTAATAATAAAATGGTAATCCATGATAGCATTATAAATTATAATAGTCTATAAAATAAAATATATGTAATTGTAAAACAAAATAGTTCTATTCAATGAGTATAGGGATATTGTTACATTTATTTTAGTGTGAAGTTAATTTGAAAATAAACCTGTGAAAAGATGCATCAGAAATTTTCTCATTTCTATTTATTATTAATGCAATTTTTAAATGCAACAGGTAGGCATGTTTGTGTATAGCTACGAAAATGAAAATTTACTTAAAAACTAAATTATTGTATCTGACACGAAAATTAGTACAGAAACAAAAACGAAAGAATAAATGACAATATAAAAATTTAAACATTGATTGAAAGAGTTTATTCTAATTATATGGTATGGGCAATTCGTTGCGAAATTGTTGGAGGAAATGGTGTCAACAGTAGTTATTTTACTGCTTGGTAGTTAATCAGCCGGTATAAAGGTTATATTCAATTCCTATCAAATAAATTTGACAAAATATCATACACAGGCAGAACTAAATAAAGAAATAGATAGATATATACACGTAGTTATAATACATTTATAATGTTGTATTTACACATTCAAATTGTACAATTGTGTTATGGTGTAGTCTCAAATTATTGTGAATTCTTTCAGAAAATTTTAAACGTTTTACTACACTATATTTACTAGTTATTTTTATCAACAATTTAAAAAATTCATCAGCAATTAAAAAAAAAATTCAAATTGATTTCATTGTGATATCGATAATGATTTTTGTAACCTGACTGATTAAAAAGCATCAAAGAAAGTTAAAATAGGATGAAGAATTTGTTATATTGGGATATTCGTTTAAAATGCGAGCAAAATTTTAATATAAAAGCGCTTGTAAATATATGCATATTGGCTCAGCTTGGCTTGGCTCGGCTTGGAACCGGATGTTAAGCAAGGTGTGGTCTCAAACTATTTTGAATTCTCCCCGAAAATTTTGAACTGTGTGCGTACATATATAGCAATGATTACTGTTGTTTTTATAATGAATTTATAAAATATATAAATATAGCGAGCAAAATATTAACATAAAAGCGCTTTTAAATCTATGCATATTGGCTCAGCTTGGCTTGGCTTGGAATTGGATGGTAAGCAAGGTATGGTCTCAAACAATTTTGAATTCTCCCCGAAAAATTTGAACTGCGTGCTTACATATATAGCACTGATTACTGTTGCTTTTATAATGAATTTTTATTATATATATATAAAGTGACTGGAATCCATGTATACAAATAATTATATTATATTAGATTATATGTTTATATGAAAAGCAATATAGCAGATTCAACCAGCCAACCGGAAAGTTTCGAAGGCGTTCGTTCGATGACTTCAATTTAGTACAGTTAGCATTGTGGTTAAGACTGTATAATAGTGCAGTATATACATTAAACAAGTTTTTTACTGATGCGAATGATTGAAATGATGAGAACGTATGGTTGAAACGAGTACAAATAGAGGAGCTGAGATAACATGAAAATCAGATCAGCATTCTGCCTCGCTTGAAGCAGTCTGTCTGATCTCATTTATTTTATTTAAAAAATTTTTTTATTTTTATTTATTTTATTATATAGAGTTATATAGAGTTATATAGAGTTTGCATGTTTGTAGGTGGTTTGAATGTTTGTAGGTGGTATTTTTTTAATTTTAGGTGGGTTCTTTAACGGTTGCTCATACATACATACATACATCATGTTTGTTTGTGTGGTAGTATTTTATGTTCTGTTTTACTCCTTTCTCTCTTTCTTCATGAGTCTTAAGTTAATGAAGCATAGGTAGGTGAGGTAAAAATTAATTTATTATATAGGTAGGCTAAGGCATAAGGTAATTTAGTTACATAGGTAGGTTAGGGACTCCTATTCTTTTACGCTACTTGGTGGTGTGATTTTTGTTTTGTGTTTTGTTTTGATTCACATCATACATTCAGTAGGTACGCGGTGGTTCCTGGTTTTAGTGGGATTTTTATTGATTGAATGTGGTAGTATGCATTGTTATATAGAGTTATATAGAGTTATATAGAGTTATATAGAGCATAAATCCTATATAGATACCTTTCTTTGCTCTTCTTTTCTCTTTTCTTTGCCGACCGGTCGGTTTCTTTGCGGTTATTTTCATTTAAATTGAATAAATAAGATTTTACCATTCATTTAGGTTTTTCAGGTTCATTTATCCAGGTTGAAGCTTCCAGAGGAGTTCATCGGGGACGATCAGAATTTTCATTTTATAATTTAATTTTTTTGCTTCTAAGATTCTAACATTCATTTACTACAACGCAAATAAAAAAATTTTGTTTACAGAATGATGAGAGGTGGGCAGTGGTGGGAGTCAGCACTTTTTAGATGGTGGTCTCATGATGATTTACATATGATGATGGTGGTGTAGGAAGAATCAGCTCGTTGGCTGTTCGACTGACACTCTGAAGTTCGGATGGTATTTTGTGTGCCGACCAGTTGGTGGTGTCGGTGCAATGGAAAGTACAGTAACGACGATTTTTGAAGTATGGTTTAGTTTCGTTTTTTATTTTTCTCATTCGTTCATTTTATCACTCAACCTTTTAAATTATTCTTCTATTAATTGATTCGTTAATTCATTCTATTCATTAATTGAATCATTGATTTATTAATTAATTAATTCATTCACTCATTCATTCAACCAATTATTCAATCATTCAGTTAATCAT